CTCGGATCTTTAAACCCCAGGTCAGTGAGCATCCTGCCCCATCACAGGCCTGACCTTGAGTAGATTAGCTGAGCCACATGGCAGCCCTGGACCTATGACCCAATTGAAGCTTCAAAAACAAATGCAATTTGGACTTTGGGAACCCATTTCATACCTGAAAAATATCTAAAGTGATCATGAAAATAAAATTTAATAACCACACAAGTGTTTATATATTATATATGTATAAGTGTGTATAAAGTATATAAAATCAAATCTGAGTATGAAAGCAAGTAAAACAAAAAACTACACTTGTGCTGGCTGGAAAATTACTGCTTGGCTATAGCCCATGGGAACATAACATTCTAACAATAAGCTTTCTGCTTCTGTACCCCCGCTTGCACCACCGACCTATGGGTTGACAGTTAGTAAATAGAAGAAAAATAGACTTTTGTGTTCAGACAGAATGAGGAATGGGGTTCAGGGCTTAAAAACCCTGTACCTCTACATTTCGGGGCTGTTTAATTTGGGTTCTGCGTACCCCTGGCAGACCCAGCTGGTTGAATAAAAAGTGTGTTTCCTATAACTCACTGGTTGCTGGTGGTCCGTGTGTCTGTCGGGGGCTGGCGGCTACAACACACTCAAACGTATATTAAGTTTGTGAATTTAATCTCTAAAGGCAATGTGCCTTTTAGGATTTTTTCTTCTGCCTGATCCAGACCAATACGCAAGTCCAGTGGAGTTTAAATTAAATGGCAACTAACTGTACTGTGTGCCTATCATGGACTGAGTAGCCTTCTAAGTACTTTGTGTACTTTTTTAAAAAATTGAAATATAATTCACATGACATAAAATGTTATATAACATAAAATGTACCATTTAAAGCATACAGTGTGTTTCACTATATTCACAAGGTTGCACAACCATCACTAGCTAGTTCCAGGGCATTTTCATCACCCCAAAAAGAAACCTTGTGCCCATAAGCGGTCACTCCCCATTCCCTTTTCTCCCCTGTCCCTAGCAAACAATAATCTACTTTCTGTATCTATGGATTTGCCTATTCTGGACATTTTATGTATATGAAATCATATAATTTGTGGCCTTTTGTGTCTGGTTTCTTTCACTTAGCAAAATGCTTTCAAGGTTCATCCATGTAACATGTATCAATACTTCATCTCCTTTTATTGCCAAATAGTATTTCATTGTATAAACATACCACATCTTATTTATCCATTTATCAGCTGATGGACATTTGAGTTGCATCTACTTTGTGTCTATTGTGAATAATGCTGCTAGGAACATTTATGTACATGTTTTTGTGTGAACGTATGTTTTCAATTCTCTTAAGTACATACCTAGGACTGGACTTGCTGGGTCATATAGTAACTCCATGTTTAACTTTTTGAGGAACTGCCAGACTGTTTTCACCAGCAGCTACACTATTTTGCATTCCCACCAGCAATGTATGAGGGTTCCAATTTCTCCACATACTCACCAACACTTGTTATTTTCCTTCTTTAAAAAAAGTATAATTACCTCAGTGAGTATGGATTGGTTTTGATTTGCATTTCCTTAATGGCTGCGATGATGTTGAGCAGCTTTTCGCGTGTTTGTTGTCTATTTGCATAACTTCTTTGGAAAAATGTCTATTCACATCCTTTGTCCATTTTTAATTAGGTTGTTTATCTTTGTTTTTGCATTGTAGGCATTATTTATATGTGTTGGATATTAAACCCTTATCAAATCTAAGATTTGCAAATATTTTCTCCCTTTCTGTGGGGTTTCCTTTTACTTTCTTGACAGTATTTGATGCACAAAACTTTTAAATTTTGATGAAACCCAATTTGCATACTTTTCTTGGTTGTTTTAGTTGTCTTCTCAAATGTTTACAACAACCACATGAGATAGAGACTATCCTTAGCATCCCCATTTTACAGATAAGGAAATTGAGGCATAGATATGTTAAGCACCTTGCCTGAGATTAAGCAGCTAACAGGAGGCAGAGCTGGGATCTGAGTACAAGCACTTACACTCCAGGGCCCAGGCCAGAACAATTCACAGGTGCTCAACCTGGTACGCATGAGTAGGATTTTTTAATTATCCTCTGAGCTTCAGACCTTGTTCAAGCAGGACTACCTGCTTGACAGTTTTCATAGTTCATTTTGTATTGTTCGTAAATTCACCTGAAGGGTTAGTTCAGGGTGGGGACTGGGAGGAGGGGCGTTTCCACAGCAACTTCCTCATTGATCTAAAGCAGCACCCCACCCCCAGCTGAGGCCCTGCCCACCTTGTCCCCCATCAGTGCTGCCAAGTCTTTTGGAAAGGGGTTCTGGCCCCTCACTGCAGTCGTAATCAGTGTAAGAAAGGTGAGCAAAGCAAGTGAGGCCTGTGTAAGCTGGTCGGGTTCAAGGGCAGGCTGAGCTAATGGAGGTAAGGAGGCCCAAGGTCTAGGGAAGGATGAGGAGCAACGGGCACCAGGAGAGACCTAATCTGGAGGTGGGGGCAAAGGAAAGGCACATGCTGGGAGTGTGTCCCAGGTGTTAGGGATCTGGGAAGCAGATGGGGCGGTCTCTGCCTGCACAGGTCAGCCACCTGAGAAATGGTGCCATTCCTGTCTGACTTGATAGAGGAGAGCAAGGAGTGGTGGTAAGAGGTGTCACCTAGTGAGGGGCCCTTCCTTCCTGGGTGCTGCTGCCTGGAGGCTGTCAGTCTGCCCTGTAGCACAAACCCTCCCAGGTACCTGGGAGGTGGCAAGTTCTACACTGGGTTGGGGGAAAATTTTCCAGAAGCTCAGGGTTACCTACTGACAAGTTTCAGCATCACAGGGAAACAACAGGTTTCTCTGCCTTGTCAGGCACCAGGAATTCCTGTTTGGGATCTGCAAAATGGACATAATAATAATAGAACTTATCTCATTGGGTTGTTATGGAGCTTAAATGAGTTAATGTAGATAACATTCTTGGCACGTGCCTGGCTTACAGCTATTACTGTACTATATTATGCTATTGCATAGGCACTGATGGTGGCAGAACCAATTAGAAAAGCTCAGAACATGTTGTTGAGTAAAAAAAAACAGGTTGAAAAATTGGCACACGAGTATGATCCCTTTTCTAAAAAATTATTTTCCTTTCCACATCTATATCTATGCATCAAGGGATGTCTGGAGGGATGGTTATCCAAATGTTAGTAATGGTAATTTCTGGGTAGAATTCTTCTTTCGTCTATATGGTTGAAAAAGAAAAAGCATTCTGAAAATTGAGCAGAAAAAGAAAAAAGAAAAGCCCTTTGTTAAACAACATCACAATTCGCACCAAGTATTATTAAAGCATTCATACCCTTTGACCTAGCTATCTCGCTCTTGGGAATTGATTTGAGGAAATAACTCAAATGAAGGAAGAAGTTATGTCCATAAAACATGCACTACAGCATTATTTATAATAGGGGAAAATGGGGGGACCACTTAAGTGACTTACTTTAGGGTAATAATTATTAAATTGTTCACTGATTGGAACTTTGTGCAACAATTAAAATGAGCAAGGTGATGAGCATTTAACGACATAGAAAAATGATTATGGCAGAATGAGGAGCAAAAGGGGCAGAATGCAAAATGAGATCTGTGCCAGGAGCACAACTGGGCAAAAGTCCTGCATGCATTCGGATGAGAACTGGAAGGGAATATGGGCAAATAGAGACTGTTTAATTTGTTGGGGCCACTGATTGTGTCTGTTTCTTTCTATTTTTTTTCATTTAGAATTGTTCCTATCATGCTGTTTATGTAATTTAAAAAAAGAATGGCTTTACAAATTCCTGCAGGGAAAAGAAAGGGGAGCAGGGAAAGATAAAATAGAAGGGAGATCTGAGATTCTCCCAGAAGGGGGATCTGGATAAGAGAAATTCAGAAGCAACACACTGGCAAACACTTCCAGTTTGGTCTTCTACCTGGGTGGCCCCAAAGGTTGTGTCCCCCTTCCTCTCTGACTTGAGTAATCAGATGAACAAAATAGTTGCCAAAGCTGGGGAAGCAGTATGTTAGCTGATTATAAAGCTAGGGTTAATAGTGCTCTCCAGACTGGAATCATTTGGAAAAGTAGATATGCTTGGTGTTGACAAGACCGTAGAGAAATGAGCACCGGCAAGCTGGCAAGAGTGTGAACTATGCAGGCTTCCTGGAGGGTAGTTAGGCATCATGTATCCAAACAAAGGATGTGAGTATCCCCAGTCAGCAATCCCACTTGTTGGGATTTATCCTAAACCTAAGGAAATGATCAAGCCAGTGCATGAAAATATTTACATAAGATGTTCATCGCAGAGTTTATAAAAATCAAAAAGTAAACCCTCAGTTTCACCAAAAAGGAATTGGTAAACTAAATTTTGGTATAACCATGCAGTGGTACACTACAAAGTGGTACACTAAAAAAAATTGGATGTAGATACAGATTTGATATGAAAGGATGCCTACCACATATTAGCTAGAACAAGAAGGCTCCAAAGAAAGATGCATATTATCTCATTTTTCTAAGATTGTATACCTAAATATGTTTATCTGCATATAGGAATTTTTGCTAAGATATACACCAAAATCTTAACAGTGATTAAACTTTGAGTGGTGGGATTACAAATTGTATCGGTCAGTTTAGCCTCAGTTATACTGCAGTAACAAATAACCCCAAAAATCTACTGGTTTATAACGGTAAATGTGAATTTCTCACTCCTCCTCACATCACTGTGGTCGGCTGCTCTGCTGCCGGACACAATCTCTGTGTGAACAATGCAAGTCTCTGTGGCAGAGAGAGGAAACGGTGGACCACCTACTGGCTCTTACAGTCAGTGTGGGCAAGTCTCATAGTCCTTCCTAAATTCAAGAGAACAGGGATAGGTAATACCCCACAGGCCCTCAGGGAGGCGCACTCCAGGAAGGGTGGTAAACCTTTTGAACAATAATACAATCTACCACACAAGTTAGTTCATCCTTATCTTAGTCCATCTGGGCTGCTTAACAAAAATACCACAGACTGGGTGGCTTAAACAACAAACATTTATTTCTTACAGTTCTGGAAGCTGGGAAGTCCAAGATCTAGGTGCCAGCAGATTCAGTATCTGGTGAGAGTCTGCTTCCTGGTTTGTAGATGTCTGTCTTCTCTCCATGACCTCGCATGGTAGAAAGGCAGAGTGAGTTATCTGAAGTCTCTTTTATAAGGGCAATAATCCCATTCATGAGGGCTCCATCCTCATGACCTAATCACCCCCAAAGGCCCCATCTTGGGGATGTTTCCACATATGTACTAGTGTGTGTGTGTGTGTGGGGGGGGCACGAACATTCATTCTATAGCAATCCTATGATTTAAAGTCCTTTTCTTTGCAAAATGCAGTTCTGTCCCAGGAAATGGGTGGCCTCATGGGGATGGTACATGAGAGTTCTCATTGTTGGGGCCTTTCAGGAGGGAAAATATAGAAACCGAATCTAGGCTAGCAGCACCAGGCCAAGATGGCAGCTTCAAGCCTGAGGCAGAGGGGCCAGAGAGAGGTCAGGATTTTCCCAAATTTAAGAGATAAGTCAACCTGGACCCATGGTTAAGTATAATATGAAGATGCAACAGACAGTTCTGGATGTACAGAAATGTTATGCCAGGCTGCTACTTACTATTTATATGACTTGAGGCCAGTTAGAGGGTCTGTTTGAATAGCTCCATATGTAAAATGGAAATTACACAAGCTGTCCTGCCTACTTCTAATACTTTGTAGGGTAAGGGGAGAGACTCCATCGCAGGGCTTTATAATTGTTAGTGGCCTTGCACTCAGAAGGTTTGGTCCTTCAAGCTGTAACCACACACTCACACATGTTACATCTCCCCAACTCCTCTCATCACCAAAGTAGCTTAGTCATTCCTTTTGTGTTCATGGACTTTTTAGTAGGGCAGGTGAAAAATGACAATAAAAGCCTCACTGTGAAGGAGAACTCCTTTGATGAATGAGCCATGGAAGGCCTGGATTCAGAGAAGGACCCCACTCTGCTAGGTCATGTCTGGAGGTAGGCTGTGTCCCCTTTGTTCCTCCTGACTCTGGCCTCTCAGGATGCAAGGCAGGAGATGACAGGGCTTCTGAAACTGGCCTGATCATTAGAGCCATTTAGGAAGCATTTAAAAACTAGATTCCTTGGCTCCGCCTTCGGGAGATTCTGATTCATCTGGGGGGGAGGGGGCGGGTAGGGTGGGGTGGGACCAGGCTGAGTAACAGAAGCTGATCCACGCTACCCACACCAGGCCCTGTCTCCTGTCCAGGCTGTCTGCACAGGCCCCGTGAGGTGCCCTGCAGGGAGGGCCTGGGCATCTCAGGTGGCACGAGCCCTGGCCGCTGGGAGAAACTTGAGTGGGCCCAGGTTATCTGATGTCGCACCTGCTCTGGCCCTGTGTTCACTTCTTAATATCAAGATCAGGAGAAGGCACAAGAGAGGCTCTCCCAGGCAGCACAGGTCACCTGCAAACTGCACCAGGGCCAGAGGAGGTAGTAAGAAAAATGTATTCCCCCTTCCTGCTCCCAGTGCCTGAGAAGCAAATGGGCCACAGGCTTCTAAAGTTTGCCTGCACACCCTTACTGATAAGCCTGAAATTTATCTCTTTACACATCTACCAATGTGGAGGTGAGTTTCTTGAGGGCTGCGACAGGTCTATTCCTCTCTGTGTGCCCGGTGCAGTGCCTGGCACGCCAGTAGTACTTGCTGAATATTTCATGAATAAATGAGAGGTGGTAACACTTACCACATTACCACAAGGTCACAAAAGGACTGATATTCACACTCACTAGGCACACAGGAAGTACACGTGCTCACCTCTGAGGGGTGGGGAACCCCATCCTTAGTCACCCAGCTAGCTACAGGCTGAGCTTAGCATGCCCCAATTTGCAGGGGTACTAAATTACTTTTGGTATCATGATACACTTTGATATGAAAAATTATGAAGTTTCCTCACAGGCAAATGCCTTTCTCTCACACACACATATACACATGCCCTGCATACAATTTCGAAGTTAAGACTATCAGCCTTTCAAAAAAAGGAAAAGCTCTATTATGTAGATGAATGCCAGTTAATGAATGTAGATGGAATGACAGCGTCAGAAATCAACATTTGCAACCCTCACTCTAATCACTGATTTAGGCAAGGATCATCAGTGGATGCTAAAATCATTGCGTCAATAACAGTCAGGGAACAGGAAGAAATCTCAGCCTACGCTAAGCCTCTAGCCCCCAAATCGGGATTCACACTGCACGAAGGAACCCAGACAAAGCAGAAGACCATAGTCAAGGAAGGCTCCAGATGGTCTTATTACATTATTTAAATAAAACCATTTCTGCAAGTAAAAGGCCAGGGGAGAATTATCAGGCTCCGGGTCTTTTCTGAATTCTTCTCCCCTCTCCTTTCCCTGTTTGCTTCCCCCACCTTCACTCTCTCAAGGGAAAGGCTGCAGGAGAGAGGGGACTGGGAGAGGGAACTCAGGAGGGTCTGTGAGGCTCCTGACACCCCAAACACATCCCGGTTGTCAAAACAGAAGGAACAAGGCTTGCTCAGACCTTTCTCACTCTTCTCAGAGGCCAGCAGGCTGCTGTGCTGGATATACACATGGGCCCAACAGCATACCTCAGTCCCTTCTATGTTCCGTCCTATGTTGTAGGGGCTGGAAGCCTGAGAGCTAAATTCCTCAGAATCTCTTGCCAGCCAGGATTTGCTTTCGAGGTCACTAGTGAGAGGCACCTGCAGAAACCATTACTCCTTCCCTAGCAGTGGTGGGTACATTTGATGCCAGTTCCCAGACAAGAAAGGTCTTCCCATTCATCTCACTGTAGCTGGCTCCCTGGGGATGCCAGGGCCAGGCGATGACTAGAGCTGAGATGGCACCTGCCAGGGCAAGTGCCTGTAGTGTCAGCCCTAGCCTCCAAGCCTACCTGGCATCGTGTCCTGGGATACGGAAACATCTGGTCATCTTCCTGGCACAGATGAGGAGGTTCTCTGCTGCCAGGCCTCTTGGAGTCGAGGTAGAAGGGTCAGCAACAGAGAATCTAGGACAGCCAGTCCCTCCCAGGAACACCGAAGACCCCTGGGAAATCAAGAAGCCTGGATATGACTGCTGCATCTTACCAATTTCGATCCCCACTCTTTACCAGTGTCACCCAGAACCCACAGGCCTCTCCTCATTGGTCTTTTGCACTTTTCCCAAATATGTGATCTGTAGTCACATACGGGGCCTGGGATTCTTTAACTACCCTCACTCCCACCCCAACACACCTGTGATCCAGCAGCAACAGGCCCTGCTCCAGTAGCATGTCCACCTCCTTGCTTGCTCCAAACACATCCCAGAGGGTCAGCTGGGGCTCAAACTGCTGCCAGTGCTGGGGAGACCAAAAGGGTCAGAGGTGCAGGGACCACAGGGTGGGCAGCTGGCAGGGCTACTCTGGGCCACGGGTCTGGAAGTGTGGTGATGGAGGGTCCAGTCCAGCACAGGGGGCTCAGTAACTGACTCTTATGCATACCAGGTCCAGGCCCATGGGGCAGCAGGGAGGTGGGCACATTCACTCCTATTCCATGTTCAGGTCAAAACCCGGCTCCCAACCAAGCCAGGTCTCCCTTCAATCCTCCACCCACCACCCCCTGCTGCTCAGGGTACGGCCAGCCCCAGCCAGGGCTTTATGGCCCTGACTCATCCAGAGCAGCTCAGAGTTTGATCGATCATATAGTACACTTCCTATCTGAGCTTTCTGCACTGTTTAAAAACATTTGAAAACCCTTAATCTAGTCTATTCCTTATAGCTGAGAAAGTTGAAGTTCAAAGACGAAAGGACATCTGTCCAAGGTTGCAATAGAACAGGAAAGAGAGCCTGGGTCTCTGCAGCCCTAGTCTAGGGTTCTCACCATTGCACCCCATTGCCCACCAGGCACTAAAGCCCAACCTCCAGCTGCCAACCCCAGAGGAATGGTAACGATGTGTGTGTGTGTGAAGCAAGAGTG